GATGGGGGGCAGAGATGCTGCCTAGGGAACAATCAGATAAGAGGGGGGAGCCCTCAGCTACACAATGGGCACAGAAAGAAACTAAGGAAGGATCCTTAACTTCTCAGGCTATAAAAAGAGACAGCAGGAGATCTGTACTTTCAGACTTGCAAGATTCTGTTAATGCAGCATTACAATAAAGTAGAATTAACTCATCTGGTCATGTTTTCTGTCTGGTCTACCTAAGAAGGCTGACAATATCTTACATAAGAAACAGGCAAATTAAAACTTTTATATCAACTCACGGTATGCACTAACAAAGTCAAGTAAAGTAATTACTAAATTCCTTGCATGTGGAGGTCTGGTTAATAAGCACTGAAGATGAAACTAGAACCAATCCTCATAAACCAAGACATAACATTACCTTTGGATATAAAACAAATGTGCTGTTGGCACCTATAGTCCTTGTATTAAAAAAAGAAATAATATTAGTGCCTACAGCAGATTAAACTAGTCATAGGGTTGGGCAACCTATGGCCGGCCCTACAGCCACAACTGCCCTTAGTTAAATTACATAAGACCTTGTCTTAATTTCAAAAACATTTCCAACCTTGAAATGAGACGAAACTGCAACACTTTTTAGCAATAATATCTTAAGAGGGCTCCGTGTTCAGTAGTCTAAAACAAACAGAATGCTTAATGGGCAGAAAACATTGTCTAACAATCAAATCAGATTATACCCCTTTCATGTTTCCTTGCATAAAAAATTAAATTTTTCCATTTGCTGGTTAATTGATAAGTGATATCCATGGGCAAGCACACTTAGCAATTTATATAAAAACACCTATGAAACACACTTTGCCATTACCAATATATTATTGTCACAATTTTCAAGTGAACTGTATCTCTGCCTTCCTTATTTATGATCTGTTTACATTTATTGAGTGGGTACTAATCTCTTCAAGAGATATCTTAAATTGCTTATCACTGAGACTATCATAGGTAGGATGGAGCATAAACTAATATTCTGTAATGTAAGTTGCAGACAAAAAAAAGAGAGAAGTAGCTCACACCTGAGATATGCATCTGACTACAAGGACATGGGGGATAACTTTCAATGCTTAATTACACAATAAATAAATACTGTGTTAGAAAGTACATATACTCTAGTTATTATTAAGTTCCATAATGTCCCTGTACCTCTCACTGGCTGCATTCACACATTATGATATAGCATGAATTATTTTTAACCATAAACCATTTAGTTTATAAAATGTGCTAAGCCAGGGATACACACAATTTTTGGGGCTAATGGGCACATTTGGCCTTTGAGTGGCATATTGAACACTGTGCTCCAAAGAAGCAGAATTCTTCCCCTTTGCCACATTAAACAATTACAATCTTATTAAAAGTTTTCAAGGTCTCTGGCAGATGAACCTAGAGCTTCTGTGATAAAACATGGATAAGTTATGTATGATTAATTATAGCACAATAGCTGTATTCATACAACATGCCAACCCAAAGCCAAACAAATCATATTGTGGTTTACCATTATGTAGTAATAAAGTATGTCATTGTAATTATTATACAGTATATGAAAACCACCATTTCCATTTCTATTTTATCAAGAATTGTTTGCTACTTACTCTCTTTTCCTGAAACATATTACAAGCCACTGGAAACACTTCCTAATTATAGACAAAATATTATTTCTCTAATCAGATTGTTCCTCACAGGCATCTTTCTTCAAAATATCTAGATTTTTCAGGTAACCGCTTATAGAAAAATCCTCCTTGCTGAGCAGGTTATTTATCCTAGAGTAATTTCATTCTACGACTTATTCTTTGATCCTGACAGATGTTTTTATAAATATAGCTAGGACTGACAACCTGGCAAATTAAATGTTTTGGACCTACAACTCCCGTATGATTTTGTGTTTGTGGATGGGAAGGGGAAGAATTACAATCCAATTCATGTAATTCAATCCACCTATGGAGCATGTGATCATATAATTCCAATCTAGTTAAAATAAACTTGGTAGAATATTAAAGCAGACAGTCTTAGATAGATATTCATCACAGGAACAGACTTTCCCTTCTTACAAGGGATCCTCTGGAACAGTTAACAGGAGGAAAAATCGGGGAACAGAAAACTAAAGGAAAGTTGTGTGAATCAAAGTCAATTCACACAATGTTTGATATAAATTGGCACGCAGGGTTCCTCAAATAACTGGATTATTTTCCTCTTATTCATAGTACACAGGTCTTATTCTTCAGGTTAAACGTTTCATGTTAAAATATTTGCAGTCAAAAACGGAATTGAAATGCTTGTCAGATTTTCTATTTCGTACATCAGATATAAAATGCAGAACTTAAATGTTATTAACTAATTACTCAACATTAAATAAAATGAACTGAAGCAGCATGTTGATTACTGTATTCCATGATTTATCTTATTCTGTTATGCACAGAATGGGGGGCGGGGAGAGACAAATAACAGCAAAAAACAAAAAAGACCTTTTAAAAAAAACCATCTCAACCCAAATCAGTAACAGAACGTATGAAACTATTTTATCAATGTCCTTATGCATGAGTAGTGCAGTTGATTCTTTGAATGAATCTAGTTGGCTGCCATGGCTGTGAACAAAAACAAATATGACTGTTCTTGTTTTTCGTTTTTGTGATTTTTTAAAAAGCTTATTACTATAGAATATATTAACTCTTTCACATAGACCTTTGGATCTATAGTTCTCTTTCTAGTAGTGTGCTTTGTTTGCTCCTAGTTTCTCAAGGATATATAATCTGTACGAATTGGAATAATCCAGAGAGTACAGAATATGTAACTATACTTTAAAGAATCAATGAACAGATGCAGATCAACAATTATTAAAGCTATGCATATTTTTAGGGGAGCAGGTTTCAGTCCTTTTTGGGAATATTATAACTGCAGGAAATTGAAGAACACATATGGACCCAATAAAACATTTACCCTATATGAAAAACTGGAAGGATCCAATGTGATCCTTTATACACCTTATATACTTTAATTACCAGAGCAAATCTACAATGCCAATTAATGTTTTTAATATTTCCATTAAATTACAATTTCCCAATTCTTCTTGGTACTGTATAGAAGAGTATAAATACACATGAAAACAGAAAAGCAATCTCACCCTGATGAACGGTGGTCTGGTTTATTTCTTTCTGAACGATCTAGAAGAGAAAAAAGCATGTCCACAAAAGATGTTAGTTTACCGTCCTTCAGATATGAACACACTTTCAAGTCATATTTTTAAATGCTATATTTTACTTTTTAAGGGATACTTCGCCTGAAAGAAATAAAAACATTTGCAGAGAATATTTAAGGATATCACTTTGAAATACAACTTTCTTCATGCTTGTTAAATTTTGTTTATATTTAACAGAGGCTGTCCTCTTTTGAAAATCCAGCAGATTTTTGTTTTCCAAAGAATGTAAGAGAGCAGTGGAAAAGAAAACCACAGAATTAGTCAGCGCCTAAGAATCATTCCATGAATCACAGTTGGCAAATACTAGGAAAGGATGGGAGATACTCAGCGGCTGCAACAGTTCCTGCAAATACAGACTATATTTCTGTTATGCCTTTCTCCATGATCTTCTGGAATTGCAGGCACCTAAGTCTTTCTGAGTTCTTTATCCAGAGAAGACTTGTTTTTTAACTGTATGTACTAGGCAAGATGACTTGAACATCAGTTATATTTATAATCATACTATACTAGAAAACATTTTGGAGTTTTAAAAATACAATGAATCTATTGTATGTATAATCAAAATAGAAACAGTTCATCAAGACCAATCATTTCCTCTGCAAAATATGCTGTGATACTCTTTTTCACAGGAAATTTAGAAAACAGCTATTCAAATATAAAAACACATACATATTACTAAGGACTTACACAATATTCTGCTATGCTAATCTCATTAGCTGTATTTCCGTTAACCTCCCAGGAATTCTGTTTAACTTTCTTTTTATTTTTTGTAACATATGTAAACTACATACTGTTTTACATCTGCTGTGTAAATAAATATATTTCAAGCAGTCCCTTTTCTGTATGTAAGAAACATTTTCTAAAAAGAGATTTTAAGTTATAATATCTGGAACCATATAAAGGTCTTGTTTCATTTTACAAGTTGCCAAACTAGGTTAAAATACTTTTAATGCAATTTCTTGCATTGTAATATGATATTTGATAAACAGAATATGCTCACCTGTACCATTTCTTGTACTACTATTTTCTCAAACTGTGCTGTAGTTTTCACTGTATTTCATTTTTCTATTTTGCAAGACAAAAGTACTTGCTGCCACCAATTCCTAGCAACAGACACATTTTCTGCATATGCATGCCAACATAGCAACATAAATAATTAGCACTAAAACCACTTTTGAAAAACAAAGTCAATGTTCAAGATACAACCTTAAAAGCTTTCCATAGGGAAACATAAGAAAAGATGTCCTTTTCTGTCTCACAGTTCAACCTCGTAATTACCATACCTGAAACTACAGAGAAGCATACAATTCTTTCCCTTCATTTTGTTATCCTGTGCTGAAATTAAACTTTCTCAGTCATTCATACAGACGTGCAGCAGCAACGAATCAAGAAAATTTTTCAAGTTGTACAATACCAGGCATGAGGAGAAAACACAAAACATGTAAACAGCATCTGGAATCATCCCTCTAAGGACTCTTCTGATTGGCAGTTTTACTGTAGCCAATCTCAGAACTGGAATGCTGTCATTCAGGAAGTGATTGTTATTCCATTTTCCCTCTTTCTTTCTTCGTTTAAACAGGAAATGGTTTAGATGGACTTGCATAATTTACTGCTTAAAATAGCACCCAAAAATGATAGCAAAAATCTTTTAAAGAAATACCTTTTAAAAAGACTTACTTCATAAAAGAAAACAAGCTTATTTTAATTATACTGATTTAATATGATAAATACTAATCTTATTTTCAATAAAAAAGGTGCTCATTTTTAAAGAATCATTTGATTCTAGTTTAAACAGGATTGTTAATCTATGAAACTAAAGTCTGTTAATTTTTTTAGTTCCACAATTTGGTGCTATATTTATGGGGAGGAGTTAGAAGGAGAAAGCAAGGAAAAAAGACTCAAAAATATGAAACTGATACCTAGGAATTTGAAATATTTTTCCAGCTTTTGTTTGTCAAAGAACTACATTAGTGGTAATATTATTTGCAAAAATGCCAGTAGCCAAGTCCAGCTTTTGAGACAGTTATATGAACATGCAGATTATAATAAATACATATGGATATGTGATTTTAGATCGTGTACTTGCTAAATTTATCAATATATTAATAACTTTTGAAAGAGCACTCCAAAGTTAGGAATTTTCCAAGCTATTATTCAATGATTAAATATTTTCTCACACAGTCAGGTCATGGGACATTGGAAAAGCATGTGACTGCACAGATCTAGGACCAAATAGTGTGCCATTCTCCAAGCCGCTCACCCCATTCCTTCTCCAAATCATGCATTCCATTCTCGCGATCCTCTGGAAACTTTGTGGCCTTCCCCAGGTCTTGCGAGAACGGGTACATTATTTGGAGAACAGCAGGAGCCCCATTTTTGTGGTGATTTGGAAGACCTCATTCTCCAAATTGTGCACCCCATTCCTTCTCCAAATAATGAGAACAGCCTCAGGAAGAAGGCTTGGCACAGCCAGCAGCTGCCTCATATACAGTAAGGTCAGGCTGGGCGTACCTCATCTGCAGTGGGAGGAAAACAGCAAAAGTCAACTGGACGCAGCAGAGCCTGTGGGCAGCAGGGGCAGCTGGGCCTTTGCAGAATGGTGCTGGGGTGGCTGGCCATGGTGTGGGGCCTGAGGCAGTATCTCTCAGTGGCAGCAGCAGTGCTGGGGCTAAAGTAGAGGCCTGGGGACAGTGGCAGCTGGTTGAGACCAGTGAAGGCCACCAAATGTCGCTGTGCAGGGTGTCCAAAAGAGCACAGATGGGTGGAGAGGGAGATAGGCAGGTGGGGGGAGTTGTAGCACCCCTGCAATCATAAGCACTACTGGGCCGGGCTCGGGTGGCTGAGGCTTCCCAGGAGCAGTTGCGGCCTTGCACCACACTGCAGCACCTCCCCATCTCAAGCAGCCTGCACCGGGTCTCCCAGGGCCTACCCCACCCCACTGTGGCACCCCTGCACTCCTTACCTGGGACCCTCTCCGCTTAACAATGGAAATTCTGGTCCCAATTGTGGTCATTAAGCAAGAACTACCTGTAACTGGGACTGGGAACTAAGCAACATGGTCGTAAGGTCTGATGTCATGTGACCGTGCCAACTTACAACTGCAGTTCCAGCAGTCCCAGTTGTTAGGCAAATCCCTAATGACAGACTAAGCAAGGGCTACTTGTACTGCAAATTCACCTAAGACAGAAAATCAACATCTTAATCAGCTGGAAGTTTCTGTGTTGATAGAGACACCATTAAAGACAACACTACACTATCAGTATCTGCAATACATGGTGATGATGATGCTTTGCTGCATACATCTCTAATTTTATGGCTGTATAAGAAAAAAAATGAAGATCATCATACTATGGTATACTAAGAATGTGCTCTAAATTTGTTTCCATCTCATCAAAAGATTAGAAGAATTCAAGGAAGGTGAAAATGCATAGCAATAAATCCCGACCCTCCAGATGTTTCACCCCATATTCAAGAACTTGCTTATAACAGCAGATCAGAGGCATGACATGCCAGCTAAGTTATTTTACGGGAGACAAGATAGAAACCATATATGCACAGATGATCTGCCAACTGAACAACATAGAAATCAAGCTCTATATGTAAACTTGTTTCAGGGTTTAAACTCTAGGCTTTTTTTAACTGAGTTTTCAAATCAATAAAAATTTGGCCATTCTCTTACCAGCCTTGAAATCAGGAAAGATCCATTCAGTGCTTATGTATTAGTTCTGTCTATCCTCAGAACCACTGGTTCCCATGCTCCTTCAGATTCAGCCCTTTCATCATAATTGTTGCTCAAGATGCCTTTATTTAATTTGTATCAATTAAATCTACCGGTCCTTAGACCTATGTCAAGGTGTTTGTGATAGTTTTCCAAACTAGGGTTTATGTCAGTTCTCAAGATAAGCCAGATCAGGAAACAGACACAAGAAATACTAGAACCCTACTATATTGATATAGGCTACAGTAATAGAATCTTGAAAGCCTGACAGCATTTTCTTCCCTCTTATACTGAAGAGATTCAAGGTGGGGCAATTTTAAGTTTCTTTCTCATGTTTTCTTGTTTTCCAGACTAAGCTTAAGTTTCACTAACAGTCTCCGCATACTTTCTCCAAGGTCAACTCTGCTCCCCTATAGTTTTTCAAACTGTGTCCTATAGAACTCTAGGGTTCAGTGAGAACTTCTGTGTGGGATTCCAGGAGCGACTAAGGAGGACAGAAGAATTCACTTGAACACAGCCAATTTTCTATCACTAAAGCTCTGCTCTTGATCAGAAGTTCCAGGAATTTACTTTTCTTTTTAAACTAACAGGTTCCTTGGCCTGAAAAGATTAAAAAAAAAACTGTTCCAAACTATTAATGAGGTTTTTAATTGGATAATTACAACAGCGAGGAAAAATGAATTAGAAAACATTTCTTCTATAAATTTCCAGTTCTTGAGATATGACACATTATTAAAAATAATAGACCACCAAATTCTCAAATAAATGTGCATTGGTTTGCTATATTAAACAACACACAACCAGTTAACAGGAACTGATTAATTTACCTACAGAAAGTATAGTTAATTTAATTAGTTACTGAAAAGAAAATGGGACATCAGTTATCTTATTTGGCTTAATGCAGTTTAAAAATTTATGAAAATGAACAAATCTAAATGTAAGAATGACAAGATAGTACAATTACGACAGAGCTTAAATACTAAAGATTTCATACAACATTAACAGAACAAAGTATATTTTTATGTATCATTTATCTACATGTTTTTTTTCTTTATGATGATAGAATATAACAATTATGTTATTTCAATAACCATGTGTGGAAGAAAGCTGAATCTCTCTATCCAGCAGGACCAAAGCTATACTAGACTCTAATAGCATGGGTTTTGAAAGCCAGAATATGAACAGTATATGAAGGATAAGTTACTTGGCAACCTTGCACAAAGTATTTCCTGAAGGGAACTTTATAATGTGCTTTCTTATTGCTCTTGATATCATGCTGTGTCAATGTACTTTTGCCATGACATATTTGCATACTTTTTTTTTGTCCAAATACAGGAAACTTTAAGTCCAATGTTCTTTCAAGAATGCACTACCTCCCATACTTCCAGCACAGGGAAAAGAAAGTAGATTATATACACATACCTACAACGTGCCATTATTAGAAATATGCTCTTAAGCAACAGTGACTAGGTATTGATATTATGCTAAGTCATGGGTCTGTGTCCAACTTTTCTGACCAATGAGCTAATCTGAAATTTTGAAAGCTTACTACAGATGCTATAATAGTTATTGTGAAGGATGCTTGCCCTTCACAAAATGGCTGCCATGATCTTATGGCCTGTTCCTAAACAAAAAAGTCAGATGTGGTAGGAAGTTCCACGGATAAGAAAAGTGGAACAGACCGCACCGGTGCCCATGAGTATCATATTAAGGACTCCAGCATTAAGCCATAATACATTTTGTTTTATTCAGTTATAGCATATTGCATAATCATATCTAACTGTGGCTTATTCAAATCATACTCAAACCATTCTATGACATGAAGTGCAAATCTAGTCAGTTTTATACTTAAACCTATATACTTCTTGTACAAAATCAACAAACCAACCAACCACATTCTGCTTTAGCACAATATGTAAACTCAATTACCCTGTCATTTGATCACATAGAGTTTATAAACAGGTTGGTACAGCTCCCAACCTAACATTCCAAGGCACACAAACTGTTCATAAGTTCAGTAATGCCCTTTTAAGTTAACAGCCTGTTCTGCTTCTGTAACTGATAAAATTGGTATACTATTCAACCCAAAAGAAAAACAGCCTAGCTGTTGGTAATTGAAAATGTAGAAGGACTAAATCTGTACAGTAATTAAGAGAGACCAGATGACTCCAGATCCAATAAATGCATATACTTGCATATTTGCATCTTTTTTAAAAAGTACAGCTTACACTAATAATGTAATGTTATTTCTGGGATGCACACTGTCCAGGTCAGCCTATCCAATTTCTGTTTCAAATATAATTAATTCCAATTACATAGAATTTGTTTTTTCAACAGGTGGACATTGTCTGGGCAGACAGAAATAGTTCTTTCGTCAGCCTTGATGATCTTGCTTGGCCACCCTGCAGGTGCCTCATACATACAGGGCAGGATGCAGGGGCAAGTGGAATATTGCAATTGTCGAAATACCAGTACACTGCATGGGTGTTGCAAGACTAGGCTGAAGCTGCCATAACTAAAGATGAAGTAGGCACGTAAGCAGAGAGGACAAAAAGCCAGGACTCTGGTCTAAAAGATCATTTCAGGGAAATAGATAAGTTAAGGAAACAAAGAAAAAAATGTCACCTGAATCAGACAAAGGAAGCTGGGCTTCAGCACATGGAACCCCACCCCCTCAATCCCATCAACAGCTACCAGACTTGTAAATTAACAAGGCAGGAGCAACTACCAGTCT